GTCGGATTCGAACCCAAGCCGCTGCAGCAACTCCGTACATGGGTCACCAGCTCTACCGACTGAGCTAACCAGGGACCCATAAATGTATTTAATTTTACTGTATTAATTCAATTTGGATCTAAATTATAATAAAACTTACAATAGAAAACAATAAACGATCATCAAATTATAACTGTATTTCCTTATTTTTAAAAAAATGAACATTTAACTTTTTGGCGTTATATTTAATGATGAGCCCGTTCTGTGTCTCCATGGTTTCTTTTATTAAAACAGCAGTTTGCCACCAAATGTCACATTGAATCCAACCCAGAGAGAGGCAGTGTCATTCCAGTCGCTCCTCCAAACAGAAGACAGCCGGGATCATACACACCGCTTCGGGGTGCCATTGTTTGTTTAGTTTCTTCTTCCTGGCACCTCCTCCTCGATGACATCACACAGGTCGCTTACGATCCTCCGGGTCCGAGTCTCTCTGCCGAGTCACAGCAACAATTTATAAGTGTTGCATCTTCAGGACTTCAGCGATAGATTCAGCGACTTATTCAGACCATCAGGAAAAATACAAGAAATATTAATTATATTGTACTTCATTCCGATGCTGCGCCGGAGTCTCTTCCTCTCCTCTTGTGCTGCGCTCGTAGGCCGCCGTTGGTGGGGTTGAGCAGAGACGATATCCCGGGTAAAGCGGCTGCCATCTTGTTGAGCAGTAGTGATCACAGGGTTGACGGCGCGGTATCGAGGTCCCGCCCATACGCCCCGTTTTCATGACGTGGAACCAAAAAATCATAGCGTGATGAGAACGACAGAAAAATGTATTTGACGTGTACTTTTGCTCAAGTTTGTCACGTCTGCTAACATGGAGGAGGCGGGGTTTGTAACCTATACTGCAACCAGCCACCAGGGGGCGACAGAAATGGTGTTACTATTGAGGAACTGTCCATCTTTAGTGACTTTTGGAGCGAGTGCAAGCTACTTTCACTCGGAAACATTGGCCTAAAGTTGGACTAAAGCCCCCGCAGGCCTCTCACCTTCCACATAGAGCTGCACGGTGCTGACGGCGAGCCCATGCTCATCCAGGACTTTGTACGTCCCATCGTCTGAGCTCTTCAGCTGCTTCATCGTCAGCTTCTCTTGGATCAGGTCTTTCTGCAGACGCTCGGTGTCCTCGTCGCCCCTCATCCACACATCTGACCACTCCGAGCTGTTCCTGTGGAGCACAGTTCAGAGACTGTTAGACGTAACTCCCTGAAGGGAATCTATCATTTATTTATTAGTATTTAATTCTGGATTAAAAACTCTACAGTTATCCCAAAGTCATTTGGATTTATTCTGAGCAGATTATTTCCTGTTTAGGGAACTTTTTATACAATTCTGTCTGTATTATGTATTTTTTATGAATTAATAGGTTTTTTTTTTTGTTTTTTTTTACCAATTCAGTGTTTTCTTGGACATTGTTTTATTAGACAATTCAATGTCTTCACAGAAGTGAACCAAATGCTAGCACGCCTTAAAATCAAGAAGGCTATGCGACCCCCGGGTTGGGAACCACTGACTTTAAGTATAGACTGTGTGTAAATAAAGCTGCTGCAATAACAAAAGCATGAACACTGAACATAAATGAAACCAGTTTATTCTTTATGATTGTCATTTTTTGGTAATTTACATTTCAGCGTCAGCAAGAACAATAACTTAACTTCACAAACTAACTGCAACAGAAGGAACAATGAGAGAAAGAGTCTGTGTGACGCAGTCTAATAAATGCCTGAAGTGACTCATTAAATGTTCATTCAGCTCTTAAACAAGCAGTTTGTTCTGTAAACCCGACAGCCTGCATCCTGTGTTTGCTGCGCAGCTTCAAACTAAAATATGAACCAATTACATCGACAACCTTTGGAAAGTTCTTAGACACAGAAGAGACAATTCTTTTTCCAAAACCCCCACATGGTTGTGTCTCTATTTATCCTCCATTGTGTAAGCAGACCTCACAGGGTGACTCATAACTTTACCAGCAGCCTGTAATCTGCTTTAGTTTGATGCAAACAGTCAGTCCATACGGGCTGCGTGGAACAAACAGCACAGGCGACAAAATACGAGATGAATAAGAGGTGGAAGAAATGAAGAGTTCAGACGTCAGAAAAGGGCAGCGGATGTGAAAAAGTGGGTTTCATTTGTCGGAAAGAAGCTTTACCTGCCCTGAAAGACCACTCTCATAGAGTGACGGGTGTACAGATCCAGAACCAGCTCCCCACCTGGACGTCGGGACAGCTTGGTTTTATGGTCTGAGAGGAAAAACGTTTGAGATCAAAACAGAGCAAAGACGTCAACAAATAAAAATGAGATTATGGAGATTAAGTGAGAGAGAATGAGACGATGACGATGAAGAAACGAGACAGTAGAGGACATTAGAAGAGAAAGAAGAAGAACTAACCAAACACAGACAGCTTGACGCTCTGAATGAAGACCCTGGTTTTCATGTCCCTCACTCCGTCCACCACCATGAAGCTCTCGTATCTCCCTGTGTCGCCGATCTGAACGTCGTGGATGATCAGAGAGCAATCCCCGGACCCGAGCTTCTCCCGAGGAACCTCCACCCGGCCCACGAATGCCTCGGCCTCCCACTTCCTCTCCCCCCGCAGCTCGAACACCGTGTCCTCCAGGGTCGCCCACTGGATGTGGCAGCTCTCCTTATCCAGACTGGTCTTCCAGCTGCAGGGAAGGACAGCCTGGTTGCCCACCCTGCTGGTGACGGACTGCGGTCGGTGGGAGGAGAAGGAGGACAGGGAAGAGGAGTCTGCAAGAAGAGAGGAAGGAGGAAATAGAGGACGACCTCCGTCAGAGGATACTGTGTTCAGCCTCAGCTCCTCTTAGATATATTATACTTTATATTTGTTCTCCACTCCCTTTCAGAGGCTAATAATGTGCTTTTGATTTAATTAAAGGTACTACACAGATTTAAAATAAAGTTTAAAACAAAGACCACTTCTATCCAGTCTTCTCTCTGATGGTCTTTGTTTATAGAGTTCACAGGGGGCGCCAGAATCAACACAAAATGTTGTAATACAGTATATATATATATATATATATATATACACATATATATATATATAGGCTTCATCTTCTGAATAATTTCTATAAGTTTCAGCAGCAAAAATGTGAAATGTATCTACAAGAAAACGAATAATTAAACCCAGGTGAATTGTTGTTGCCAGTTTCCGGGGTTAAAGGAGTTTTAATGTGTCGATACGTACACATTATTCATTGTTCGCAGATACCTGTGGCGTTGGTCCAAGGTTATGTCTCTAACTGAAGATCATAGAACCGGTTTCAGTCAGTATCGGGTTTAACTTATCACATTTTTGTAATGAAACCAAATGGCATCAAAATCCTCAAAATACTAATAAAATACACATAAACTCTAAAGGTTGAAGCAGTGAGAGTCTGTCCTCGTCTAAACGTCTCACATGGTTTCATTTTATTAACTGTTTAAGGTCCACAGATGTCAAATTATCCAATATTTCTTCCTTCCTCTCCCATTAATCATCTCACGGCCCCTCAGATTTATTTCACTTTGTGTTGATTGTGGCGCCCCCGGTGGACAGAAGCAGTAATGTCTCCACTGCACCTCCGACCCTTCAGAATAACTTTATAGAAAGATCCAGTTTGTTTCTGAAGAGGCTTCAGACTGTTTTATAACCAGTTAGGAGATAAAAAGCTGCTGATTCTGTTTGTGTAACATCACCTGAAGCTCTAATTAAAGTATTTACCTTCAGTCCCTCAACCACTTAACAAGGTGTGGCTGAGGTTTTGGAAAGAGAGAGAGATTTTTATCGAGTCCAAATCAATTTATATATTGTATTTATTCATGTTGTGAGGGTTTAATGTGATTGTTCAGCAAAAAAAATAAAAAGGAAAACACTTTTTTATGTAAGTTGTTGAAATTTTACATTAAATATATAAAACTAAACATTACTTTGATGTAATACAGCCTGAATAAAATGTAACATAAATATTCATGTTTCTATGTGTTATACAATCGTAATTCACTGACTCGAGTCACGTGTGCGTGTGTGTGTGAGTGATTTAAATAAAGCTTTATCACACTGTATCATCATTGTTCTTCAACAACAGCAATTACACAAACTGTTTTTTTCTCCTTCTTATTCAGTAGAGCTGCTGAACCATTAAACCGGTTGTTAAGTTGCACTTTCGTTTATCATAAAAACAAATCAGAGTTCATCTTTAATATCTAAAACTGCTCCGCCCAGCGTGGCCTCGATCATATATCAGATATTATTTATTATATTATAATAAATCTATTATAATATGGTTTCAGTAACGAGATCCAGTTACAAGGAAAGTTATTAATCATTAACTGGATGTAATATGTAGATATCAGTATAATAACCAGGTAATTAACAGACTTTAATATTAAATGTCCTAATTTTAAACATAATCTGATGTTTTTATGACGTTTAATCTCTTTCATACGTCTTTATTTACACAATTTAAGACTTTTGATGGTCACGACCTGATTTTAACTTAATTAAATGAGTCAGACCACAAACATCTGCTGCCTTTTAGAGGTATTTAGGTGATTTCTGAACCAACAGGAGTTTTTTTAACTCCTCAAACCACAGACAGTGTTAATGAAGGGAGATACTCACCAACTAAACTGCCAACCAGGAGACAGTGTAGATGAACGAAGAACCTGAAAGAATGAAGAGATACGATAGAATCTGTCACACAGGCATCAGAACAAACATTATAAATATTCATATCTTGTTTAAATTAGGTTTTTAAAGTTTAAAGGACGCAGCAGCAGAAAGAAACTCATTTTATTCCTCATACGGAGGTTTTAAAGGATGTTAAACATTATAGAACAAAGATTTAATGATTGGATTTAATGATGATAGAGTTCAGTTTTATCATTTGTATATTAAAAACATTCATCATTTGATCTCAATGATGCAGAAACACTATGAAACATTACTGGAATCTACATATGTATTTAATTAGTGATGCAGGGTGTGGTCGCAGTCGATCTCTGACTGACTGAAAATCACATTATATTCATTATTTTATTATATTCTGGTTAAATATACTGAATTAATCTGATTACAGAACAAGTTTGAGTGTGAGTCTATTATTAAAAACAGAATATTAAAGTATGTTAATGTGGGAGCTTTAAATCAGAGTCCTGAGCCAATAAGAGAGCAGAACAGAATAAACCAGTATTTGTATTTATCTGTGTTTATTTGTGTTTATTTGTATTATTCTGATGTAATTTGAATATTAATTGTCAGCAGTGTGAAACTTAAACCGCAGCAACCTGAGTGTAGAGTAAGTTTCGTTTCTAGTCACCAGTTGGTTTCCTCAATAATGAAACTGATGCAGTGTGACCGCCTGCAGCTCAGCAGCTGATTCACTGTCTCACTCTCTCACTGTCTCACTCTCTCACTCTGAACCATATTCTGTCAATGATCTGAACTAAATAAAAGACTTGTCCCCTCTGCAGATGAGCCCATTGTGCTCTCTGTGGTCTCCCTGCAGCCCAAGGTGCAACAGTTCAAAATAAGAGCATTTGCATTGAGAGTGGAGGAAGCTTTTAGTTTGAAAGAGTTCTTACCATTGTCGCGTTTTCATGATGTCTGCTGTTTGGATACTCAGTTCAGTCCTCTTCTCTCTCCTCCGCTCACAGAGATGAGTGTGAGTGTGTGAGTGTGTGTGTGAGTTACTCTGCAGACCGCAGCTTATCAAGCCTGCTCCTGGATACACTTCCGGTGGACATTCCACAATAAAAGCGCCTCTATTACTGACTGATAATGAAATATATAGTAATAAGTGTCATACTAATGAAAGATATATTTAAACTTTAGTTAAAGATACACTACTCTTTTATTGGAAACTGTGATTTTATTAAATATTAAATAATTTTTTTAAACATTAGTGAGATATATATTTATATATATATTTATATATATATATATATATAAAATAAACAATAACAAAGTTGTATTGAGTTTTATTCTGGTCAAGTTAATGTTTTAATTAGTTTTTATTAGTGTTGGTTTTTAATTTCTGCTGTTATATGACATAATAATAATGTTGGGCTTTTATAAGCATCACTCTGTTCATAAATCAGTTAATTAAGACACTTTCAATACATTTTATCATTTATTTTTAATATGAAATCAGTGATGTTTAAGCTATATTGTGTTTTCAGGATATTTATTTATATTTATTTTATATTATATATTATATTTACATGTTTACTATCCTGTGAAATCGATATTTTATTCCAAAAAGCTCCATAATGTTTGTTTTTAAGTACACTTAGTTCATTTCAATAACTTGTTCCAACAAGTAAATTAGATTTTAATAAACATAAACACATCAACTGTGGATTTATTTCTCCTTTAGACGCTTTTATTTTGAAGCACTTCCGGTGTCCCTGGCCCCGCCCACCCAGCTGACGGCTCTGTGCAGAAATGAAACCTAAAGCAACCACAGACTGACACTCAGACTCAGACCCCGGCTGATCTTCTGTGCTCAGCAGAAAATGTTCCTTTGAAAAATGTTGGTGGTCTCTAAATAAAGTCCTGCTCACTTCCTCCCACTAATGTCACTGTCTGTCTGTGTGTCTGTGGCAACCTGTCTGTCCTCCACTGTCTGTCCTCCTGCAGCCCAACACTCACACCTGAACCCGGTCTAACTATGGCAGCTCTCTCCTGGATCCTCTCTGTGCTCTGTAAGTTCTGTTCCTTCCTCATCCGGATCAGTCCTGCTGTTGTTTGATTGGTTTCATGGTTCAGCAGCTTGTGGTGGTCTGAGGTTGTCACCTGGTTTCAGGAGGCACACCCATGACCCGCATGACCCAGGTACTGTGGTACCATCCTGGAACCGCATGACCCAGGTACTGTGGTACTATCTGGGTCATGCGGTCCAGGTCTGAACCAGGCGGTTAGTGGGATTGAATGTGTGGCAGTAAAGAGTTTTAATGTTGTTTTAATCCGTTTTATCTGCTAAAAGTTTGAGTAAAATGTTGTTAAATAACTATTAAATATGTTATAAATGATTCTAATGAATGCAAACAACATAGATTTCATGCATTTAGTATTTAATATGATGACATTACTCGTTATGATGTGAATAATGTCAGTATACACGTTTTATTATAAATGTGAATAATGTATCCAAGTATAGTATTATTATAAATGTGAATAATGTCAGTATAGTTTTATTATAAATGTGAATAATTCAGTATAGTTTATTATAAATGTGATATCGTCAGTATACGTTTGTGTTGTGTGTCGTTTGAATGATGTTTGTGCAGTTTGACTAAAGGATGTTTTTCACATTCGTCTGCTGGAAGTGGAAAGTTAATCCGAGTTCACCTGAACATTCAGGTTCTTTTAAGGGGGCGGGGTCTATTAGAATTGATTTGTGACAATAACAATATAGTTTTGTGTCCACCAGGAAAACTCTTATAAATAATCTTTAAGAGGAGGAAGCAGTTCAGTTTATACCAGAATCAGAATCAGAATCTGAATTTTGTTTATTGCCAGTAGGTTTTATGCCTACAGGAATGTGACCTGGTGCAGTTGGTGCATAAAATATACACGTATACAAATACAAATATACAAATATACAATTATTCCAAAATCACACAAAATCACACAAAATAAAGTACTTCTCAAAAAAAATAAATAGATAAAGATAAGAAGAGAAAAGAGAAAGATGGTGCCAGAAGAACGTGGGTGCCATTAATGTAATGCATGCTTTATATTACCAGGGTGGGTATTAGAGCCAGTGACAGTGGGGAAACCCCGGGCCCTTGTTAAGGAGGCCCAAGCTGCAGACGGGAAGTAAAACTGTTTTTATGGCGAGACGTTTTAGTCCTGATGGACGTGTTTTAATTTGGAATTTAAACTTTTCTTTTGAAGAAAACACATTATTGTTCCATGTAGACTGATTGTGTTTTATTTTTTGCTTTAACTTAAAGGGCAAGTTGTGTAAAAAAAGGCTGTAAACATGTTTATTTCTGCTGTTTTAATAATATGGGGCCTTATGGAGAATCACTGCTGGAGCCTCTAGTGGTCGTTAGAGGAACTGCAGTTTCTGTTACTTCAGTTTCATTTGTCAGTCAGGGAAGTTGTTGATGTTTTTCAGTAACTCTGGTGTTAGAAAATGTGAGGAGGAGGAAGTTTATGTTATGTTATATCTACAGACTCTGTGGTCGGTGGTTTGTCTCAGCGGCGGTTTATCAGCTCTTTATGTGGCGTTTGTCTTAAAGTCACTGAAGATACATGTAGTGACGCAAAAAAGTAAAAATGTATTCAGTTGAATTAAGATGGCAGTGGAGTCCAGAATCTAGTCTAGTACAGCTGCTGGAGGTGCTCACAGGCATTAAAGAACAGAAATAATAATTATATTACAATATCTAACAACATATATAGAACTAACAATCAGTATGTACATTATAATACAATATATTAATATATACAGTATTAGTGCACATTAACCAGAGAACATTACAGGTTAATCACTATTAAGATTAAGTGTCCCCTAAGTGACCTTTCACCCTCCTCAGGTGCTGCAGGAGCTCACCTGTCTTCGGCCTCACCTGTCCTCGGCTCGCCCCTGGTGGTCCAGCCTGGGCAGAACGTCTCGCTGACCTGCAACCTGACCTCCAACATGGACGTCACCTGGTACGTCCTGCGCTCAGACCAGCTGCTGCCTCTGCTGACAGTCAAGCCTTCCAAGGTGGCAGAACCAACGGTCAACTTCCACACTGCCAACCACCGTCGCTTCAGCAGTGTGGGGGACCTGGAGAACGGCACGGTCCTGGAGATCCTGGAGGTGGAGGAGACGGACGCCGGGCTGTACTTCTGCACCGGGCGGTCTCAAGTGGCTGTTCGTGTGGACAGAGGAATTAATCTGGTTGTCAACGGTGAGAAAATCTAACAAAATATCACACTTTCTCTTTCTGTTTTTGTAAATATATCACAATAATAATACAATGACACAAATAGCCTTTAAATGTACACGTCTAACGTACAATAAAGTGAATAATCTGTCACTGTAAACAATTTAATAATAATATTTAAAGAAAATGTTCTTTTTTCACATAAAATAATTAAAACACTTTTGCTAAACGATCATTTTTCACAGATATTTACTGTTTGTTTAATAGACTGAACTGTTAAATTCAGTTTAATACTGTTTAAATAATGTAAAATGTGTGATAATTAACAGTCTCTACTGTCAGGATGTAGTGAAAGACTTTAAGAGAAATGTCTGGGAGCAGCTGGAGTCTTATCACCAAACTTATTTCTTATTTTCATCCAGAATCATTTTAGTTTGCACTCCCAAGACGATATAATCTGCTTTCAGTACTTATCTTGCAGTTGGGACACAACTGTGTACTGACTATAAATATGTGGACATTATATTACATCTCCCTGTATCTGTGATATAGAACCAGAGCTTTACCCTAGTAGGAAGTTGCTCAACCATCACCAACCAGTGAATACTTTGTCTAATCACCAAACTACAAGCAATCATATTCTCACTGGACACCTTTGATTTGTTTTAATTAATTATACTAAAAGAAATGTAAATAGTTTTTGTAGTGTTTTGGAACGGTTGCACGACTCTGAACTCCGCCCCAATCTCTATTCAACCATCAACAGTTTAAGCGTTATGCGAACGTAACAGGCTGATATTGAAATTAAATATTACAGGAAATGCGAAACTTATTTTAAATTACATTTCAGAAATCTCATAGTTATGTGATTCCAATAAGTTTTGACTTATTCCAAAGTTACATATCATCAAAGTTAAAAGGATTCATCCTCTGGGAACCATGAATGTCTGTTTCATGGCAGATCATCTGACAGTTGAGCGAGTACTCCGATTTTATAAGAAAAACTTCTGTTTCTCAGTTCTGAGGATGTTCTGTCAGTAATTTTCTAATAAATACAAAAACTCCTGCAGCGTTTTTCAGCAGCAGCCACGACTTTAATTCCTCTGACCTGCTGCATTTCATTTGTACGTTTCACAGAAGTTACAGTTACAAACCGGTTTGTCTTCTAAATCCTGATTGTAAAGGTTCCCACAGTTCACAGAACGATGTAAAGAAGAAGCTGGAACTCTGAACTGTTTGGGATTTACGCAGTTATATTTCCAGAATATTGAAATATGGAGACTCAGCCAGGCTGCCATGTTGGAGCCTGGGGATCTGTGTTCTTCCAGCTTTACTCGTCCTCTTCATTGTCATCATCATCGGACTCTACCTGTGCTCAGGTGTGTGTTCTCTCCTTCTATCCTACATTCACTTCCTCACAGGGCTGTTTGAGGTTAAGACTCTCAGACGGACTCGTCATCCTGAAGGTTGGAGTTTCAGTATCAGTGAATTATCTCCATGAAGGTGAACAAGCACCAACAGGTGTGTTTGTGGCACCACCCAGTGGTGGGAAGAAGCTCTGCATCGACTCAAGTACAAGTTTGAGGTATTTGTACTTGACTTCTATGTTGCTGACGTGGCTGATTTATACTTCTACTTCTTCTTTATTGTGCAAAAACAACAGATACAACACTGATGAACAGGAATAAAATACACAAGAAAACAAGTAAACAAACAAAAAATAAAAGATGATGTGGTTCATATATGAAAAACAAACAGATGAAGGAAAATCTAAAATGTGTGGTTTGGGAGGAGAGTTTAGTTTCGTGTTATTTTGGAGTTATGTAGGGTTGGAACAAATAACGAAAATATATTATATTTTGATTATAATGAATACTGTTAATAATACATAATAATAATAATAATAACCATATATGATAATAATAAATAATGATCCGTCCGTTTTGCAGATTCTAATTATTAATGCAAATATGATCACATTAATTTCCGCAATTAAAAATGGTTTAGATTTAGTTTACAGTGGAATAAAAGAAGCAAACTGTGCAGGTTGTTTCTCTGCATGTAGTAAATGGAGTTCATATTCTGCTGGAAATAAAAGGAGGCAGACTCAACACTTTTCTGCCCAAATTGTCTAAAGTGTCTAGAGTTTGCGTCATGTGCCCACAGCTTGGTGGCGCAGCTGGAGCGGGCTTTTCATCCAGGTGGCGGCTGTTTTAAGTCACCGTGACAGCGATAGATAGATAGATAGATAGATAGATAATAATAGACAGAGTAGATAACAGACAGACAGACAGGACAGACAGACAGACAGACAGGATAGATTAGATAGAGTAGATAGATAGATGTGTGATTGTGTAACTCCAGCAGCGACGTGATACAGTAACCTCCCGCAATGCGCATGCGCGGAGGGCTTCGGAGGAATTCCAGCGGGCTTTTGATGTTACGTCGCACATTAAACGCGCGCGCTTTGATTCAAAGCCAATAGAAATCGTGGAAGTGTTTAATACCTGAACTCTTCTAATAACAGCCGCTTTTATTTGCTTCATTAGTTTATCGGACGGTCGTTTAATTCCTTCAGCACTAAACTCAGCTAACAGCTAACGGTAAATAACTCATTTTTTATTCATTTCAATCAACTTTAATAGTTTTAGTTACTTTGGTCTTCATAGTTTCTGTAAAATGAACGATTGAATTGTGGAAAATGTAACTGATCTAACGACGTTTAAACATTTATATTTGTGTCAGCGATCTAAAAGGTTTAAAACTCGCTCAAGCGCCACCTGATGGAATTAAGAGGTTTTATAGATGCAGATCATTTCTATAAAATCCAGACCCGCGTCGATTTGGGTCCCTGCTTTTATTGCCAGTGTTACGGTATATAAGTTGCTCCACACAGAACCGAACTGGGTCAATAAATTACTAGTCTAGTCTTAAATGGAGCCATCTCAATCCATCATGGACGACACGGTCTTCATCTCTCAAGAGACTCTTCGGCCCATCGTACAGAAACATCTTGAGAGGCTCTCTGCAGCGCAGTGGAGCATGTTAGCTGCAGGGACTTTGGACTCGGACTCAGTCGCCGTACTTGCTGATATGATTACTGAAATCATACAGACAGCTGCCCTGAGAACCGCCGTGTTACTGTTTCACAAGAGCACGCCCAGGAGTGCGCCTGAAACCGATATAGGCGAACCTTTCGAGAGTTTTAAAACTCAGCTCCGGGACTCCCTCGCCGGTAGTTTGGCTGACGCTCTTCACCACCTGCAGGTGAAATGTCAGAGCACACAAAGTCTGACAGAACTGGTGGTGAAGGAGGTTACGCAGAAGGTAAACTCTGTTGTTCCTACCGCCATCAGCTGTCCCGACTGGCCGGAGGAGCCCGCCGTTTTTGTCCCCAGCTGCATATCCGACGCAGCGTCTCTTCGCCGGATGGTGTTTCTTGTTTCCTCATGTCTGAAGGCATACTTATGGAAAGTGAACTCCCAGTGCCTGTGTTGGCAGCCAAGGAGCACGGAGACCTCTGAATGGTCAGACGAAATTCTGGATTCAGAAGAACCAGAGGACCGCGAGTCAGTTCAGAGCCTAAAGTCCGCGATCTCTGTTCCCACTGTGACTAAAGCTGTGAGCAACATCCTCGTCAGGTGGTCCAGTGAGACAGCGGAGATCGAGGAAGAAGGTGAGGCTGAATGTGATGTGGTTCCTTCTGTAATCACCACTCTGGATGCCGAGGCTGTGGCATCTGAAATTGTCAGGAAAATACTGGATGACCTGCATTATCCTGACAGTGCAGATGTTACCAGCAGCAGTGTGAAGAGCGGTTCACTGAGACCTCATTTCAACATGAGATTAATAGCCGATAAGGTCAAAGAGTTTTTCGCCTCACACGGCGCGTCCGCCGATAGCGAAACAGCTCGTGAAGACAGCTTCCTCACGTTTGCCAAAAAGCAATTTGACAACGTGATGGCACAGCTGATGAGAGCGAGTGAGAATCATGACCCCGACTTTCTGGTGAGTCTCGACTTGGAATCAGGATCTTCTCAGCTTGGACTCGTAGAAGCTGCTGACGACATTTTTGGAGACTCTGTTCCAGAGTCTCCAAAGCCCAAATCTGACGTTGACAGTGAGCCCAACATCTGTATCGGATTGACAGCGGGGTTCGATGTGAGGAAGCAGCTGTCTTCACCAGATTTTGAGGCCATCAAAAACGATGTTGTCAGCTTGTTTCAGGAATTAACCCGTCCAGAGGAACCGGCTGCACTTCCCAAGAAATCACTGGAAAAGATGTCTAGTGACGAGATCAGGAAGTTTTTAAAGGAACTGACTGATAAAATGTACGGCCGTCTCAGGAGCAGCCAGACGCATCAGATTCCTGTGGCTCCATTGGGAAGAAGTCTCTCTGACTCTGTCATCTCTCAGCTCAGGAGGGAGGTGGACGCCACCACTCGGTTCCCCTTTTCTCCTGACGTTCTGTACTTCATGACAGAGGACGCAGTGAGGAGGTTCTTGCAGCAGGTGCTACTCTGGATGGACAGAGAGGCATCGCATAAAACGAGCCATAGCAGCGAAGTGTCTAGTGCACTTACAGACATCGAAGACCTAATGACACAAATGCTGACCCCACCAGAGGAAAACATCCTCCCAGAGTCCCCCGAAGACAGCGACAGGCAGAGTCCAACACCCTCTCGCTCAAGTTGGGGATCATCTGATGATGATGATGATGATGATGAAGAAGAGTTGTCTGATTTTGACGACTTGAATCTCAGACGCCACGTTGATAGTCTGATTTTTATCAAATGCAACATTGATGTTGCTTCAGAAGATTCACGTCCTGAAGTAACCCCTGAGCCAACAGTCGTCTCTTCCCCCTGTCCTGCAGTGCGTTTGAACACTATGGTTTCAAACTCTAAACCGTCAGGCAGTGGACTTTCAGCAGTGTCAAGTGATACCTCGTATGGTTTAATCAACACCATCATCACTTGTCTGCTCACGAGGATCCTCTCGAAGGCCCCTCTGAAAACCAGGAAGTCCCTGAAGATGTTAGACGTCTGCGCCATCGTTAAGCGTCTGTCAGACAAGGCGCAGGGGGAGATCAGACTCACTCGCTCTTTTGTTAGAAACATCCAGAAGAGCATGGACATCAGCAAAGGTTTGATCAAAGGTCTTCACCAGGAGTTTGGCTCTGAGGAAAAGCTCCTGGATGCTGTAGTGACACCTCACCATCCATATTTTGACGATGCTGTCGTGAAGCATCTGAAAATCCACCTGAATGTCCCCTTAAGTCCGCCACGAAAGAGTGAAGCCGCCCGGTTCTTTTCAGCAGTGGGTAAAGTTTTAATCGGGCCCTTCAGGCGGTGCATCGCGGGCAGCACTGACGATTAAACCACAATCCCCCCTCCGCGTCTTTTAACCTCTGGAAACATACAGCATTCATCTTGAAGGAGACAAGTTAAGGGAATCAGAAATCGTCACACCTTCCATCTCACCTGAGTCGTAGTAAGTCAGATAAGGTGGAGGGTATGGGCTGATATTTGTGTCAGTAGAAACTGAATTTGAATCATTTAGAGCTGAAACTGAATTGCCCAACTTGAATAATTGCATTAAAAACCTGAATTTGAATTGCA